TTTCCCAGCCTGGTCCCCTGCACCCCTTAGTCTGCAGTTTGCTCAACCAGGCCTGGCAATTCATGCCTGCGATCCCAACTCGTGCGTGGCTGCGGCTGGAGGCTCCCTGTAAGTCTGAGGCCAGCCTGGGCTACAGGAGCAAATTCAAGGCCAGCCTGCTCTATATAGAGAGACTCTGTATCAAACAAACAGACATTTTTTTTTTTTTTAAATGAAGTTTATTCTAAACTTTGTTTCCCACGTTCTTTGTTTCTCTTAGGTAACGTGTCATAATGAAAATAAACTCAGACCTAGTCTGCCTCTTGGTGCGTAGTGAATCAGCAGGGCTTAGTGGATCAGAGGTGGTGAGTTCTGACTCTGGCCATGCTGTGAGAACAGGCAGTGCAAGGGGGGAAAATGCACACAGCACACAGGCAAATCTGCGCCCCCACCCCTCCAGCTTACACGCATATGCACTGTGCCATCTTACTGCACTGATTTGGCTGCAGACTTCTTTGCCCAAGTGCAGGCTCCAGGGGGCCCTTTACCCACAGGCGAGGAGCAGCTTGAAGGCACGCAGGGGAAGGAGGTCCACACACACAGCCCCCGCCCACCAGGAGCGCGCTGTCCAGACACAGGAGGGCTGTGGATTTCCAGAAGCCATGCAGAAGTGGCACAAAACGTAGGAGTGCAGAGGATACAAGGAAGGGGGAAGTGGCCAGGGTTACACCCAGACCAGATAGGAGCAGATGGACCGTGGGCTGCAGGGCACCCTGGTTCCAAAACACAGGGGGTTGGGCCATGGTCTGTCCTCCGTGCAGACTGGTAGGAGAGCCCCGCACAGTGCTGCAACTTGGTGCAGGCACAGCAAGGCGTGAGCATGGCGCAAATGAAAGAAAGAAAACTGCCTTGCCCACTGTGCCTGACAGCTCAGACAGACCCCCGGGAGACCAGGAGACCGAGAGACCGAGAGTCCGTAGATGCGAGTTTCTAACTCCAGGGCAAACAGCTCTGGTTTGAAAACTGCATTTGCTCAGGGCTGTTTCTCACCTTCCTCTCAACCTTCTGAGGCATTTGTTCCGATTTCCTCTGAGCTTCTCTCCCATGGGTGTCTCACTGCACCTGTCCCTCCCTCTACTGCTGTCTACTGTGAGGTGGCTTCCAGCTCCTGGCTTCCCATGCCTGTCGCTGTTACACATTAGTTTCTAGGCTTTTGCAGGAATTATTTTTCTTATCTCCCTGGTTGCTTCTGAACTTTATCTTTGGTGAACTGTAGTTTGGCACTCATCACCTGATTGTGATGATTCTTTCTTTTAGCAGCCAGTGTGTGACTTTCAGGCTTCCTGGGTCTGAAGGGTGGGACGAGTCATTGGTCCGGAGATGACAAGTGACATCTGCTCGCAGGACGAGTCTCCCTATGTGATCAGTCCTTTCAGACCCCTAGACACTGCCATCCATATGCAAATGGCACCTTCAGATCTGCATTTTTAAAATTTATTTATTTATTTATTTATTTATTTATTTTTTGGCGGAACCGGGGATTGAACTCAGACCCTTGCGCTTGCCAGAGAAGCGCTTATTACACTAAGCCATCTCCCCGGCCCCCAATCTGCATTTTAGTCGAATGACGCACCTCTCTTCTAGGTCTAGACTGAGGCTACACCAGCCACGAAGCTTTCACACTTCAATGTTACCTTATTATTTATATGTTACTTTTAGAAATGCTCCTTTTTAAATGTGCTTTCTCCTTTTGTGGTTTCTGGCTGTTCACTGCTATTTCAGTCTTTTTACCAGTTCTTTCAACTTATTAAGAAGCCCAGGCCTACCGTGCCCTGCACCCCAGCCCAGCAGCCAAGGATCACTGGCCTGATTTGTCTAACTCTCTGTCCTTGGCTCCTCTCATGAGCTGCAATTTCTCGTGGTCTCTGATGTCTTGGCCATGAGCTCCTTCCTCAGAGCCTCGCCTGGGGAACACTTCAGCACTTTTGTGGAGGAATCTTCCAGAGAAAACCCAGGTTGGCTTCTCCAACACTTCGGAGGTGCTGCTCACCTAGTACGCTGAACTCTCAGCTTGAAATCCTTTCAGGACCACCCAAGCGGCAGACATCTGTGATATAAAAAGACACGCGGGAGGCGCCCTTTAATAGTCCCGTTACCAGGGGAAGATTTCCCACCTCAAATCCAGCCCATTTCCAGAAGCCGGCCTTTCCCCAGGCCACCAGGTGAGTGGCTTTGTGGCTGTTCATGCCTCTGCTGTCTTTCCAACATCTGCAGTGGCTTCCCCCAGCTGAGCACAGCTCTGTCCAGGCAGCGAGAGCTCAGGGTTACCAGGCTTCAGCAACTATGTGGAAAACAAAGTATTTCAGGCGCCCACAGTGTTGCTCACTTTTATGTTCGCAGTTGGCAGTGTTCCTTCCTTTCCTCGTGGAGCACATAGTCTGTGATAAAGATGTTCTGAGACACGCGAAATTCCGCAGTTTCCTCCTGCAGAAGGCTCAGCACGGATATGTGCTCAGCCGGGCAGGAAGAGGCTGAGTCCCTTCTCACCCTGCCCTGTGCCCCCCTCCCCCGCCACCTGCTCTGCCCATGAGCAGCTGCACTCCAGCAGCCTGGGGTCTGTCCCCTCAGAGTGCACCCCCGCATCCTCCTGAAGCATGGCTCTGCGGCCCCCTGCTACCCCACTGTGCAGCATCCCCAGCGACCCCCTTCCCACCTCTGGACCACAAGAATATTGAGACATCTTCAGTCCTTTCCTCCAGCCTCTCTGTTGCGTCAGTCTCATGGTTTCAAATGCCACAGGAACATTTACATGTTAACCCACCTGACTCCAACCATGTATCAAGATGTCCACACGACATTCACCCTGTGTTGTGAGCAGGAGCCTTAATTTAGCCATTTCCAGAAGCAGGGATCTGCGGAGCAAATTTCCAAGCCTGGCTTCCTGTTCTCTCCCCCTCCACAAACATGGGCCCCAGGCCATGGGTGTGTCCTGTCTTCTCTTCTTATGGGTCCTACCCCAGCCCATGAGCAAAATCTTGTTTCATCCACATTCCAATAGGCTCAGAATCTAACCAGCTACTATCCTTTCTTCTTTATGGCTGACTTACAAAGAGCAATCAGGAAAGCTCTCCTGAAAGGTAAATCAGATGCCAGCTGTCTCGGTACAGCAATGAAATGTCACTCTAAAGGAAAGTTAATCCTGCCCTAGCCTGAGATACAGCCTATTTGTCATCTCTGGCCTTTGCTGCTGTTTTTAGGACTTGAAGCTGTGTCCAGGCTGAGATGTACATCGCTATCTTTCTCAGAGAAGCTGACACCCCCCTGCTTGCCCTCTAATTTTAGTTTCTTCACTGTACTTTTCAGAATTTGAAAGGTTACCATCACATTTGTCTATTTGCTTATTGTATGTCTTTTATATTCCCAGTACTGAAAACAGTACTTGACTTGTAGTATCAAGGGATCTCTGTTGAGGGATTGATGCTGGATATGTGGATGGATGATTGAGTGGAAGGGCGAGTGTTGGGTGGATAGATGGACAGCTGAGTAAGTTGGTGGTGCATGAATGCATTAATTGGTTGGTGAATGAATGGATGTAGAGATGGGTAGGTGGGTGGATGGATGGGTGGATGGATGGATGGGTGGGTGGGTGGGTAAGACTGAATTGAGAGGAAGAGTAAGTGGATCGATGAATGGATATATGGGTAGATGAATGGATGGTGAGTAGACAGATGAATGGGGTAGATAGCTGGATAGATGGGTAAACAGATAAATGGAAGGATGAGTAGATGGAAGGATGGATAGGTAGGTGGGTATACAGATAGATGGATGGGTGGATAGATGGATGGGTGGGTGGATGGATGGGTGGGTCAATATGCAGATGGATGGATACCTGAATAGATAAGAATGCTCAGCATCATTCCAAAACACAAGTGAACAAGAGCAAAGCAGAACGCAGAACTGATCAGCTGATCATCCGTGTACACGACAGGGAGCCTTCAGTTTTAAGGCTCAAGCCCCAGTTTATGCTCAGGTGCCTAAGGACTGGACAGCTGTGTAAAAACTGAGATCTTATAAAGATCTTATCTGCTGGAAACAGAGGTAACAGACCCAGAAGACTGAGCCAGGGTGTGGTGCTCCTTCCTGTGGGAGTGGGGTGGGGCCTTGGGAACTGGTATCACCAGCTCTCGGCTGAGGTGGATCCCAGGCTGTGGCCAGTTCCCAGGCAGGAAGGCTGAGGAGCACGGGGTGAACAGAGTAGGCGCTCCAGGCCTTCTGCCCGACTTCCAGGACAAGGGGTTTTGGGTACTATAATCCACCTGAGGGAGGGCTTCCAGGTCCTACAGCTGCCTGGGGAGGGTGGGGAACAGGGGGCCACCGATGGCAGACCTCCAAGGGAGACTTTCTCCTAAGGCCTTCTCTTTGGGGTGCTGCCTCTGATACCCCTAAACCACCTTTCTTTTGTGGATTCCCTTAGCCCAGAGCAGTAATCAGTTACCTGTAAAGTGACTTCAATGCAAACTCCTAGCTGTAAACTCTGTGTGTGTGTGTGTGTGTGTGTGTGTGTGCATGCGTGTGTGCACACATGCGTGTGCCTTCCCATCACCCCTGTGCTGTGGGGAGCAGCTTCTCTAATCCTCCAAACCTCATTAACCAGCAGGATAAAACTGACTGGAGCTCCGAGGCTCAGGGTTGACCTGAGCTCATATGGAATTCTGCCTGCTCGCAGGCCACGCGCCATCTGCGTGGCAGCGCTCGGCGCACAGCTGCGTCGCAGTTTAGTGATGTCTGAGGAGGAAAGTGAAAAACCACAGCCACAGAACTCACAGGATGTCGAGGGATAAACAGTGTATGTGACGGAATCAGTGAATAGCACCTCCACATCTGTAAGCGAAGTATTTATTTGCATAGAAAGAAAAATACTGGATTAAAATTTGCAGCACAAGTATTTTTAAACTTGTATTAAATATTGCCTTACTGGGTAGTACATCCTGCAAATAAAGAATTTGTTTTTTTTTTATATATATAATTCTTCAAGGAGAAAATAATATAAACTTTAACTCATGGTTACATAGTTGGCTGGAAAAATGCCAGTTTGGCCTCGAAGTTTGCCTTCCCACCAATCGAAGTGTGACTCTGTTTTTGATATAACTGTGATTCTGTCACCAGCTTGAAATGGCAGGTCACCTGGCTGCTGCCCTTCAAAAGAATACAGCGCTGTCACCTCTACTGGCTGACCAGAGTCACCTGAAACAAGAAAGAGGATTCAAATGAGCACAGCTTTGTAGGTGAGCCTACACTTTCTCCTTTGAAAGAGCAAGTGCTTGGCAGGGCCACGTCCCAAATCCTTGGAAGTCAGAACTACTCATGAGTCTAGCTAACTGCACTTAGCTGTGGCTGGAACTATTTGGATTCAGAATCACCCATAAGATGAGGCTATGGTACTATACGTGCCCCACGTAATGGGCAATCGATGCTACGGGCTGAAAGGTTCCTCCCTGCACTCACTGCTGAAGCCCTGAGCTCCAAGAGACAGCTCCATGCATTACGGTCATTAGAAGAGAGCTGAGCTGATGATGGCTTCACAAAAGATTCCATCTAAAACCTCTTTTAGAAGATTCCATCTTCTAAAAGATTCCATCTCTTAGTCGAAAATAGGCTGGCACCTGTAGCCCCCGCACACTGGAGGTTGCAGCAGGAGGATCAGCCCAGCCCAGGAGCTCACGACCAGCCTGCCCAACACAGCAAGACCCTGTCTCAGAAAGGAAAGAGAAACTACACTCATAAGTCATTGGTTTGAAAGGCACAGCTCAGAAATACTTTGGGGGTTCGGGGCACCCTTCCTCCCTACGCTCATACTGCTTTCATTTCCACACCACGTGGCCTGTCCTCGCCACACACACAGGGAACCAAAAGGACATGGGGAGCTGCCGGTCTAGAACACGGCAAGGGATGCTGTGCAGCCCAGTGTGTGGTATAAGTTGAGAACTGAGTGGCTAACATGAGAAAAAGATGTTAAATTTAAATTGTATAACCTCCAAATATTGAGAAATGGATACTTGATATACTCAACTTACATGAACCTTGATTTCTCTCCATTTCATATAATTTTGTGCATATCAGGCAATTCAATACTGTTTAATATCTAAGATACGCAGAAAACATAAATAACCAAATTCTGACACCCCTTCCATTTGAGCTCCTAGCTATCACAATAATAACCAAAACTGGGCTGTGGTGCATGCTCGTAATCTCAACACTTGGGAGGCTGAGGCAGGAGGATCGCCATGAGTTCTAGGTCAGCCTAGGCTACACAAGTGAGCCTCAACTACATAGTGGGACTCTGTCTCAAAACAATCAAAACCAAAACCAAAATGACAACAACAAAAAAAACCCAAACCTGAACTCGATCCATCTGTTAGAAATAAGAATCACTCACACTTTCATTAAACTGCAGCCTGAAGCCCTCACCAAGAGGTGGGTAGCATCTTATACCTGGTATTTTTAAATAATGTCCCAGAAATAACAACACAACACAACACAGTGCACCAGAGAGGCTGCCACTATAATCAGCTGTGTTCTATCATAGAGACTGTCTAGAGGTTTTACAGTTAAGACACTGTATTTCCTTTTCCTGTCAGTTTTATGGAAAAAAGGTAAAGAAGCGTCATCAAAAGCAAAATTTTGACAAACTCTGGAAATCCTCTACTTAAGTCAATCAGCTGCTGGTGGGAATGTAAACCAGTGTGGCCCATGCAAAGAGGCGGTGACACTGCAGTGTGACAGGACACACCACAAGGGACCCCACCAGGCCCCTTGCCCTGAGGTCAGGGGAGTGAGAGCTGCGCCAAGGGAAAACGGCTTCCGGAGAGGAACAGGTTCTCATGCATGACCGGACTTGTAAGCGCCATGCCTGATGGCCAGACCAAGAGTGAGATGCCTTCCTGCCCCTTCTCTTCTCCCACCTTCTCCGTCCCCTCCACTCTCTTCACTCTCTCCCTCGTCTTCCTCCTTTCTGCTCCTCTCCTGGCCCCTCCCTTTCTTTCAGTAATCAACTAGGATATAAAAATCTGGGCTCAAGGCTACTTTGGTATAAACATCTGTACTTCGATGGTTTTCCTCCCAAAGGGCATGCACATCCAAGGTCAAACCACTGCACACAGCAGTACATTTAAAGACCTTCCCCTGATTTCTAGCATCCCTGAGGCCCAGCCTGGCCCCAATCAAGCCAACTCCCATGGCACACTGGCCTGGACATTCGGCCAAGTGAGAAAGCAGGGGGATGCCAGAACCTCAAGGAGAGAGACTCTCAACCTATTTTTATCTGCCTGTTAGAACTTTTTAAAAATGTGATACCTCATTTTGTGACATTTTATTCACATGGAACAGTTAATTACTTGACAGTTTATTAATTCAGTAGTAGATAATTTTGTAATCTTTCTGACAAAAATATAGGCTTTGTGGTTAACTTTTATCCTTAGTTCTCCACCAACTTTTATAAATAATTGCTTGATTCTTTCAAGGAAAAATTCTAAAGAATATTTTAAAAAGATACCTAGATGGACTATTTTTTATAATAGAAAAATTTTAGTAATTTTTAAGTAGTTCCCAACAATTGTGAAACATCTGAACATGGAAAGCAAATCTTTAAAAATAAAATCTCAGGGCTGGTGAGATAGCTCAGTGGACTAAGTGCCTGCTTTGGCAAGTGCAGGGAGGTCCCACATGCTGCACCAGCTCTTCCCCCTCAGGTGCGCTGAGCAGGCAACCAAGTCCCGGCGTGGTGGCACACACCTGTAATGCCAGCGCTGGGGAGGCTGAAAACAGGAGGAACACTACAAGTCCAATCTGCATAGTAAGACCCTGTACCAAATACATTAAAAAAAAAAAAAAGTCTCACAGGGCCCAGGCCCAGAGAAAGGGCGAGGCTGGGCAGCCATGGCTCCTGGGCTCTTGCCACCTTCATGGTCTCCACACAGAAGCCACCAGAGGGTGGAGACACAACACTTTTTTTTTTTTTTTTATACAGTTTTTTTTTTTTTTTGCAGAACTGGGGATTGAAGTCAGACCCTTGCACTTGCCAGGGAAGCGCTTATACTACTGAGCCATCTCCTTGACCCTGACACAGCATTTTTGGTGACACAGTCCTAAGACCAGAGTGGATGGTGTGTTGGTGTAAGGCAGCTAAACATGTCCCTCAGATCTCCAGAACCTATCGGATAGATTAGAGGGTCTGTGATGGATAGGAATCATTTTAACAAATAAATTATTTACCAACTCTCTCATGATAGCCGGAGAGCTCAGGATATAGCTTATGTTCATTTGCATTACCTGAAAAAAAAGGCGGGAAGAGATTGAGAACATGTGCTAGTACACAGTGAGCGGAAACAATGATCAAAACTTCAAGGGTAATACTCCATAGATCTAGGAAAGCATTCTATGAGAATGGATGTTTCCACTAAAGACAGCAGCTGAAAATTTGTCTTATGATATAGAAGAGGCTGAGTGCTTATCTCTTTAACACCCATTAGTTTTTCCATTTGATTCTAAAGTGTAACTGTTTCTTGATTTCTTAACAGTAACATTCAAGAGTTACTTAAGCAACATTTAATAGTTACTTAACAATAATACTTAGTAGCTACTTAATCATAATAGTATTTAAGTTGCAATAAAAGTATTTACTTTGCGAGCCAGAGTTCCGCTTGGGTGGTGCTGATGATTGCTGTGGTCTTGATGCTGGTTTTGGAGGTAACTCTTTAGCCTGCAAGGAAGGTGAATACACCAGATTCTGAATTTGTTGTTACTTAGGAGCATGAAAGGATCTTGGGTCCTCATGCATTTTGGTAGCAAATTTTATCCTATGCACTCCTTAATGAAACACCCCAGAAGCTCACACGCACTCTTTGGGGTCCCCTCTTAGTGGGGTTGGATAATGAGAGATGTGGGTGGATAAAGGGTCTTCTCATCCGGGGGCTCCTCAGCAGGCCTCGCTCTGCAACTGTGCAGGTGTGCAGGGGGTCACAGGTGGGGCGGTCACAGATTGTGTTGGAGTGGGGACAGGCTGTGACCCCTCAAACTGTGTGCTTCTGTTTTTACTCTGAACAACCCAGAAGGGTGCCGTGGGGAGCAGGGAAAGGAGGCACAAAAGCTTTTCTCCGTGCTCCATAACCAGGAGGGGGCAGGTGGCTCAGGAACAGCACCATTATCATCTTCAATACTGTAAAGTTTGGCTCAGAGAAATTAAATCACAGAGGACAAACTGTTCTTGCAATCTGCATGGGTGGATCACAGGGTCATAAGGCACTTCCCCAAGGACTTTAGATGGGACATAACATTGCACAGCACAGGTCGCCTCTGGCTGTGGAGTGGACGAGGGGTCCCGTGCCCACAGAAGGACCTTCTGCTGCTCCCGGGCGGCTCTCCTCATGTTGATGCGCTGTCCCTCGTGCTCATACTTTTCGGTGAAGGAATCGAGAATTTCATAGAGGTCT